CTAAAAGAGCAGATAAACAGGTACTTGATAGCTCCTTTAGATGTAGGATTGGAAATGGGTCTCTGAAAGTACTGATTTATTCATCAGGATTTCTGATATTGACTGTGTATTAAGTTCCTCATAATTTGATTCTTGTATAACATTTAGTCTCTTGGTATATGTGATGTTTCTGTTTCTTGTTATAGTCAACACTGTTTTTGGATGCATTCAATAAAGATTAGGCATCTTTGCCCCAACCATTGCCAAACCCTCTATCTTTAGCACCATTGCCTGTGCTTGCACCTGATCCTTGGACCCAGGAAACGATAAATGAGAAGCTGAAGAAAGCCGAGGATCTTGATAAGACTCAGGTTACCTGAACTCCATTTTTTATGTATGTAAAATAGGGAGAAAAACATCTTCAGTTCTTGATGATAGATATCTATTAGGTAGCATGTGTTAAATAACATAAACATCTTGAGTTCTCGACAATAGATATCTATTAGGTAGCATGTCTTAAATAACATTTTTTGAATGCTCCATTGTCTTTAAATTCCTGCAAATGGAATAGCAGTAATCCTTAAGTTGTTTGAGGTATTTATTATGCCAATTTATGTTCCTTGCTGTTTGTGCTTTTACGTTTTTTCCTATAAAAAAATGTCAATGTCAGAAAATTTGTTTTCCCTCCCCTTCCAAAACAGTTGTCAATGGTTGATGAAGACTCAGTGCTTTACTGTTTTTTCAATTAACACTCAGTGCCTTACATTAACAATGCCTTTAGGGTGGTTTCATTTAAAATATACAGAAAGGCTATTAAAAAAATTTAGTTACCCAAATATCTCTGAATGATAAAGATGAAATGATAATGAAACTAATAAATCAATAAAGTGAAGACTTACTCTTGAATGAATGGCTTCTTGTCCATAATGTTAGCCCAAAATCAATAGTCTTTCTGATTGACATTTATGAAAAGGGCTGGCAGTTGTACTAAGAAAAGGTTCCTAGGGGTTTGGATTTTAGTTATTTGGAAATCTATTTTATTTGTTTGAAAACTGTACTTATCTGTGTTTTATTGAATTGTGTTCTACAAAGTTTTCAAGAATACATGATGTACTTATCTGTGTTTTGTTAATAGTCTCGCTTGCTCTCTTATTGTTGTTTAGGTGAGGAAGGGATGGTAGACAAGGCACAAAAAGCGCTAGAAGAGGCTGAAACACTCAAGAAGGTTTTAATTTCTGAATTTACTAGTGTTATTTCTGTAAATTAATTTTTATTAGCTTGCACCATATCCTTCTCCTTGGTATGCCTTATTTGTGGATAATTGTTTTTCCATTTGTTCAGCACTTTGCTAGACAGGAGCCTGTTCTGAATTCCTCAAAGTATACTGCTGCTGATGTTCGCATTATGAGTTCTGTTTTTTTTTCTTTCAGTTTCACAGAAGGAAAATTATGACAAAAACTAGATAAGAAAACTTAGACACACTTGGACCTTATTGGGAAATTATGAATTCAATTTGCATAATTAATGGATGAATAGTCCCCTGTCATAATTGATTTTAGTTAAATTTTCTTTTAGTCCATTTATATGCTAATATTCTATCTGCTCTAATCTTTTTGATCCAATTTTTTTTTCAGACTGATCAAAAGCTATGTGTATGTGATATTTGTGGAGCATTTTTGAGTGTTTATGACAGTTACATTTTATTATCATCTACTTCTTGATAATAGTCTTTTATCTTCTTTCTAAGGGCTTCAAAAAGTTAGTGTTTGAGGTTTCAAGTGCTTCAGCTTTTGACCTGGCTATTATACCTCCTTGTCACAAGCAGGCTTTGCGCCCGGTTTTACGAGGATAACTTTTGCAGCTACATAATGTGTGTCTTTTTCTCTTTTTGTACTTGTAGACCATGCAATTGTTAGATAATAAATATTTGGGAAACTGTATAATCTATAATGCATGCTACTGCAATATGTATGTTATTTGCTTTTTTTAAGTTTCTAGGTCAAAGTGATTTGATTTTTCTTGTTCCTTTCAGTGGTCCATGTTTACCTGATCATTTTGGAGGCAAACTTCATTTAGGCTATATGCAAATCTGTGATAAATTAGTAAAACTTCAGGTAAGATGATTTACATGCTTAGTATATGCTGACTGTCTATGGTGGCTCTGCTTTAAGTGTTACATTACATAAGGCTAGGGATAGTGGCTGGCATCCAAGGTGTTGGTTGTATAAATTGCTAGAAGGTTTAAGTACCATTTTGGTCCCTCAACTTATCACTTTGGTACCAAAATTATCTCTCAGCTTTAAAAAGTACCAAAATTATCCTTGAACTTTCATTTTAAAAAATTACATTTTGGTACCAAAGTGATAAGTTGAGGGACCAAAATTATTATTTTTTAAAATAATCAGAACTTTATTTGAACGCTGTTACTTAATGGATTCTAGTAGAACAGCAAATTAATTCATCTTTTCTGGATCCCCTTAAGCTTGTATTGTGAATATGTTGGTCAGGTGCTGGTATAATGTTTCTCATTCTTCTATACTGATTTTCAATTAGTATCATTTGTGAGTTTTTCTGACCCCAGAGAAGAATAGTATCTCTCATTTTTCAATTTCTTTTGATTGTTTGTAGATGCTGGACTTTAAAACAGTATTTTCTACCTTGTCTGTGCATATTGGGCTTAAAATGTATCATATATGAATTGTCTTCATGCTCGACCAATTTTGATAGATTAGTTTTTTCGGCTGAAAGAATGAAAAAAAACGAAAAAAGGAAACATGAAATCAAATAGGAGAGAAGTACAAGAAAGGAATTTGTTGTAAGTAATGCGAGAAAAAAAAATGACCTTCTCATATGTTTAAAATCTATGACAATAAATCTGATGAAGGCCTGATTTGGTCAGGGTAAGTTGCCTACTAATTATGCCTACCACTATTAGAATTCTTTCCTGATGGTCCTTATGGCATGTTATATTTAGCTAAATTGAAGTGGCATTTAACTTTTCGAAAGAAGCATTCAGTAGTATTTGGTGATTGTTGTTTTCTCAGGAAGAGAGAAAGAAGAGTCGCAAGCTTGACCGGTATGATGACAAGAGGTAATCCTCACGTGGTTTCTTTTCCTTTTTCCTTTTGGTAAACCATTGGGTGGTGAGTGGGGTGTTGTGATATCCTTTTTATTGGTGGTGTATAGATCGAAAGAAAGAAGCAGAGATCATGAGAGAGAATCAAGTCGGGACCGAGACCGAGGGAATGGTCGTGACTGAGGCAGCAATTATGATCGTAGGAGCAGAGATTGTGACAGGTATAGTGATCGAGATCGTGATAAGGATTATGAGCGCTCTCGAACTTATGATTCTAGAAGTCACCGCAGGTCATGTTCAAGGTCTAGGGAACACTCTAGGGATCATGATTGCCACAGGTGCTTGTTTAACAATATATTATTAGTTTTGTTTTGTGAACCTTTTTTAACTTATTAAATGTATAATGTAATATAATATTTGTTTTCTATTATTTTCAAATTTAATGCTGAACCCTGGCTAGTATTTGAGTCCAAGAAGCTAAATATAAGATAAAAGCCGGAGACAGTTGCATTGCATCAAATATATTTGAGGATGTGAGCTACAATCCTCTATGATTCTGGCAACGAAGAAACTCTTATCACGTGAAGCTACATCCTTCTTTTCTTTCTTTCTTTTGTTTTCTCTTATCCTCGTGATGATAAGAATCTTACTCAGCATTTTTGGGTGCTATCATCTGTTTCTAGTATATTTCCCTTAGTATTGGAATACAGCATAGAGAAATGGTTGTAATCTTGAATAGACCCAAAACCAACCATGCTTAAGGCATAGGGGTGGAGCAAACACCTGTACCGTAGATTTTAATGCTATTTTTCTTCACATAAAAAACCCTGTTTTTTTTAATCTCATCTAAATTCTAAAATATCTTGACTACTGTTTGTTTATGATGTGCTGATGAAAGGATGGCATTCCTTTAGGACCTCATTATATTATGACTTGTTAGTTATTGCTTGGATTTGAATCTTGATCTTAACCTAAAAAACCAGTGATAGATATTTGCCTTCCTTATTGTTCTTTTTGTTTTGTGTCTGAAGCTTTTGAAGTTTTCTGTGCTGAGAAGGATTATTCTTGAATGTTACTCATTGTTTTTAATCAGGCGTGACCGATACTAGATGCATGAATGCTGCCCAAGAAGAAAATGAATACGAAACCGTTCTTGCTTATGTAAGCCAACTTATATAGGGAAGTAGCATTCCTCAGTTATGTTATTTGATAGTTTGTCATGTAGTTGTATCAACATGTTTAAGAGGGTATTTGTTGTTTTTGGTTCCTAGAGATTAGAAATTGAATCCTAAACTTGTGGTTAAGAGCATAAGTAATTTTATTATTAGATCATATGAATTGTGAAGAGGGTGTTTGTTACTTGGTAATGTGTGTATGGTATTGAGTATCATTGGAGATGTAAGTTTGCTTGATTTTACTATTCCAATTTCCATGTCAGGCAAATTTTCAGTTAAGTATCGAAAAGGAGAATTAAAATAATGAGGTTGAATTTTATTTTCTGCTTTGACAGCTTGATATTAAGTTGGCAAGAAAATTGAGGATGCTGGAAACATGATTCACATAATTGTATCTAGATTCAGTCTCATCTAATGGTAATCATGCATGATTGGCTGTGAATTGATATGCATGAATGAATTATGTAAGAAAATAAAAAATTTTGTAATTCTCAATCATTTACTGTGTAAAAAGCATTAGATTAAATTACAACCAAAAGTTAAATGGAAAACTGCAAGGAGTGTAAGTTTATCCATCGATATGAAACATCACTTAGAGAATCATCTACAAAGAAAGGAGTCTGCTCTAAGTATGCAAATGCACATCTCCAATATGCAAAGTGGCTCAATTTGTCTCATCTTGTGTAGCTTATTATCACACACAAGGTAAAAAAATGTGAATCTCAATGGAATCTAGGTATCACAAAAAAAAAGAAAAAAAAGTAACCTATGAGGCACCAAAATCTGTTGTGCATGTGAAAGCTAAAATTTATATTTAAATTATGATTTGTCTTGTGTGTAAAGGAAAAGAAAATAGCGAACTCATCAAAATCAGCAAACCATATTCTAATTAAAACTAGAGTACAGTAGAACCTAATTGATAATTATCAAGTAATATTTGTCTTTTGAATAATCTCTCCTTAAAACACCATAAACGACAGTTTAATTTTAGGTGCCAAGCAAAATGGCAGCTTCTCGAAGTTCATAACCAACTCTTTTTTTTTATGAGTGAAATAAATAAAATTTATTAAATGAAGCACAAGGGGAACTTCTGTTCATATACAAATCAATTAATCCACTCACAATATTAGCAAAATGAAAAAATATTATAAGATATATAGTTATTAAAATAAATAATATTTCTTATTTTTTAACCAATTATCTTTTTTTTAATCAGTGAAATAAATAAAATTTATTAAATGAAGCA